TCAGAAGAGGCTACCAAAATAGAATCCCATTTGCTCTGCACTAGTTCCGCACAGTCAACCTGTGGAATTCATTGCCACAGGACGTGGTGAAGGCTAGGAAGACATTAACAGGGTTCCAAAAATGAGGTAGATAGATTCATGTAGGTTAGGTCCATCAATGGCTATTAGCCAGGACAGGTAGGAATGTTGTCCCTAGCCTCTGTTTGTAAATGGGTGACAGGAGAGGGATCATGTGATGTGTTCCCTCCCTCTGGGGCATCTGGTATTGGCCACTGATGGCAGACGGGATGGGCCGTTGTTCTGATCCAATATGGCCGCTCCTATGTTAGTTGAATGAAGAGTGGCACATATTCCTCGGGGCGGTGGGCTAGCAGTGCTTGTATTGCTAACCGTGTGAGGGCTCATGAGTGAGACACTGCCCTGCGGGACGGTAGGGTGCAATTCTACTCTGAAAAGCAACCATGTAACAATGGACTCCTCTGTCCCTAACAGATCTGCCTCCAGGGTGGATTCAGAGTCAGAACTGCAGATTTCAACAACAAATGTAGGCTCCTCCTCCCACTCCTTCGCCTTAACTGCAGGGGTTAAGTTGGATTCTACTGCAGCTCAAGTTTCATCTACAGACTTGCTAACCGAGTGCCAGTTGCATGACTCCAACCACTAGGCTCCAGTGCCTGGCTGTACAGCAGAGCTCCTTTCCCACCCCCCCTGTCAGCCTTTGCTCCTAGGTAACAAGTCAACAAACAGTAAAGTTGTAGAAAACAAGGGAGGGACCTCCCTCCTATTACCAAAGCAATACAAAGCCAAGTAAGCACTTACAGCTGTGGGGTAGAGAGAAGCCAACCAGCCGCTGGTGTGTGCACTTTCTGTACCTTTTCAAGCATACTAGTTTTATCCTCTGTCCTGCCCAGGCCCTGTCTACAGGGCAGGACAGTCCAAATACTTACCAGAAGCGAAGTGAGGAAGGAAAGGAAAAGAAACCTAGGGAGAAAACAAGTAATTGGGGAGGAGTCATTACCTGCCAAGGCTTGGTTCACTTTGCTGGGCTTGGACATCTCGACTGGCAGATTTGGGATACTGGGGAGAAAAAAAACCCACAAAATATTTAACATCACTGCATGGATAGCAGACAAGATGGAGGCAATTCAGTGACACATGGCGCTTGGCATGCTGACCAATGGCTGCTGAGAATACAGTGCGTGTGTTAGTTACATTTCCCCATTGTACCTAGCAAAGTCAATCCCAGCAGAATTGGGTCTCTGGTATGTACCAAGGTACAGCTGGAGATACCTCAAAGGCAGAAAGGGATCAGGTGACGTGCAGCACTTGTTAATGCTAGTGAAAATAAGGACACCTCGCTTTCGGCAGTAGATCTCAAAGCACTTTACAATGAAGGTGAACGCTGCTTCACAGCTGGGGCAAATGAAGCCTGGGGAGATGACATAGTAGCAGAGTCTGGTGTGAAATCCAGACCAAGTGCACTATCCACGACTCCGCACTGGAATGGGAAAGCGATGGGAGGTCCATGAGACCGAAAGGAGTTAGGTGTGCAACTGCTTTTGAGCCAATGGGATTCAGGTGTCTGACAAGCCCACTGGGAAATCCTTTAGGAATGGGGGGGAGGCATGAATAGGGGAGGTTCCAGTGACATGCAAGAGCATGGAGTTTCAAAGTGAGTTCTGCAGACAAGGACTAGGAAGGAGAGCGAGGCAGCAGATGGAAAATGCACAAATGCAAGTGGTCACAGCCGCAGCAAGAGGATTTGGGCTATGTGGAGTGGGGAAAGGAGACCAAAGGAGAGCAAGCCAGGGTTTGAATCTACAGCGTGATCGCTGGCCACACAGTCATGTCCCACGTGGATTCCACTCTCGCACTGTAGATTCACACCCTGCCTTGCCACATGATAGCGTCCCATGTGGAAAAAGCCCATATCAATGGAAAGGGAACATCCAACTCTGATGTTTCAGGCACTGGGGCTGAGAGACCACGTCAGTCTGAGACGGAATAACAGCCAAGTAGGACGGTGGCCAGGCCCTGCATCACTGAGAAACGCAGCTAATCCCGATTCATGCAATGTCAGACGGTAATACTCATGTCTGACAGTAATACCGGGCCTGTCACCTCCAAAGGACCCCGCAGGGCACCAAACCACAGACATGCAAGACTACTGAGATAAGGATGTTAAATGGTGATTGTCCAGCTCATCGTGTAGTCGATGCAATTTGTACCGATTACACGATGAGTCGATAAAGGGGCCCTCCGCAAAGCCGCAGCGGGAGTTGGGACTGAGCAGTCCCGACTCGTGCCAGTTCTGGACCTCTGAGGCGCTGCATCTCTCCCAGTGAGAGCCACTGGGCTCCTACTACATTTAAAATGCAGAGGCGCCGCGTCCTGGACCAGCATAAGCTGGGACTGCGTGGTTAGGCCCATCAGTCAACCTGTGGAACTCTTTGCCAGAAGATGCGGTGAAGGCTAGAACTTTAACAGGCTTTAAAAAAGAGCTAGAAAGATTCATGGAGGTTAGGTCCATCAATGGCTATTAGCCAGGACAATTAGGAATGGTGTCCCTAGCCTCTGTTTGTCTGGAAGTGGGAGACAGGGGACGGATCATGTGAGGATTACCTGTCGTGTTCCCTCCCTCTGGGCATCCAGCACTGGCCACTGTCGGCAGACAGGACACCGGGCTAGATGGACATTTGGTCTGACCCAGTCTGGCCGCTCTTATATTCTTAAGGCTGCGGACAAGGCTGACAGGGCTGCTGTGAATGGGGAGGGAGGGAGTGTCCAGCTGCCAGAGCAGCCTCTGCCTGTGGCGAGCCTCGGCCTGCTGTGAGCAGAGGCTGCTTTGTAGGCAGCCTCCCCTAACCTTCCTTCCGCTGCCTCTAATAGAGGCGGGGGAAGGGGGACAGATGGCACTACGGAGACAGTGCTGGGAGGGAACTGGCTTTTAAGCCGGTTCCCCACAGCACTGGTTCCTGTCCCCTCTCCCACTTGCTGCCTCTCATACAGACACAGCAAGTCAGGCGGTGGGAGGGGAAGCACGTCGTCGAGAACTCCTTTCAACCACCTGAGAAGCATAAACTTAGGGGGTAGTCGAATAGTGGACAACTCGCTTACAGCCCTACCCTGACATGCAGCCATCTCTCGGGTGGAAGAAAGCAACAGGCATGCACACAGCATAATGGAAGAGGGCAAATCTTGCACAAGATACTAGAGCGAAAGCAGGGGCAACACCACTTTGACCAGAGGGCCAGGCATGGGTCAGATTATTAAAGCAGCCTAAAGGCTCGGGGAGGGACAGATCCCCTCTCTCCTCTCCCCCGCACACACCAGGAGAAGGTTCTGTGCCAGAAGAAATCCAATCCATCACCAGGAAACATCAGATTCAAAATATTGCACAAAGCAGGTTTTCTATGAAATAACTTTCAGAAGCCATGGCCCTGCTCCCTCCCCCACCATTTCTGCTCCTGCCTTACCTACCTTGAGATGCCCTTTAGCTCACACTGGAGTTATGGGCTCAATACAGGAATCCTCTGCCCTGAGTTACACTGGTGGTTCGATGAAAGGATTTGAAGGGCTGCTTCTGGCCCTAGAAATCTCCGAATCATGGTGGTTTCCCAGCCGTCTAGTTCTCGTTTCCCCCCCACAAGCTAAGCTGTCCAGAATTTCTCAATCTTTTCAAGTGACACCAGTTTACCTCTCTAAAGACATGAGCCAAAGCCCACTAAAGTCCCTGGAAAGACCCCCAGTGACTGCAAAGAGCTCTGGATTAGATACTAAAATCCAGTGGACATTTCTCTTTGGATTTGGCCTCCTCCCAGCAGTCTCTCCCAGATACATTTCCCCTCCTTTTTCCTTTCCTCGCTGTGCTAATCCCTCCACCACCCTCCTTGGTTTGCTCCCAGAAGAGCTACAGTGAGGAGGCTGCTCCAAATGCAAGTGATGAACTTTTTGGAGGCTCAATGAGCAATCACACACTGGAGAATCGCTCTACCAATGCCAATGATCCCTGAACCAAAACCACCTGCTTCCTCTCACCACGCAGGACACAGGACAGAGTGACGTCCCCTCTGGAAGTCATCTCTCAAGTTCTAAGCTGCCTAAAATCCTCACCCTCTGGGTCCGTGATCCCAGCATGCGACTGCTGGAAATCCCCCCAACCTCACTACTCTGTGCGGAGCTTTGTCCTGCGGGGCTGCACGCCTGTTGTCACTATGCACCCAGCAGTGGCGAGCAGGGCTCATCCCCATGCCGAGTAGAGATGCAAGCAATCGCGCCATTACTTTGTTTGTGGATGGCGGAAAGTATTGAAGGATGCACCCGAGCCACAGGAAAGTGGGCAGATGAGCGAGGCTCTTACAACATACGTCTTCAGCGACAGACAAGTTGGGCACAGCTCTCCTCTCCGACTGCAAAGACACCGAGATGCTCCAGAGAGGTCCCTACAGAAGAGCGTGCGCCGCACAGGCGCCTCGCCTGTAATTCTTCTCGCCCGCAACATCAGCCGTGGTAGCGACGTCGGACGTTAGAGTGTCGCAAACGGCTCAGGTGTTTTACCATTTTCAACTCATAGCGCTGGTGGGGAAAGCGAGTCTCTTTTTCGCCAGCTAAGGAGAGATCAAGTAATGCAGATACCAGGCATCCGCTAAGTACCTGTACTCCCCCATGGCCAACGTTCCCTCTCATTTTTCCCATCCGTGGGCGGAATAAATGTTATGTGCACCACGGAATATGCAGAAGTGCACCACCTATAGAAACACATGCTACTGGCTGTGAGAAGTTGTGGGCACTCTGCCAATCAGCTGGGCGGCACCTGAATCTCTCCTGGGTGGCCGCCCAAGCGCTCTGCTTACAGGGAACACTGCTCATGGCTGTAGTATCTGAACTGGCGAAACATCACCAGCCCCGGCAAGGCAGAAGCAAAATCCTTTAACTGGAACAAATACATTGAGGTTGCCTGTCACTGCCACCTTACATACCAGGGCTGGAGCATTGGGCAAAGCTGTGCTGAAAACATGTGCTGGACGCCCACAAGAACAAGCTGGGAGCGTAGGCAAACCACGCTTACCATACTGCCGAACCACTGCAGAACAGAGACCCTCGTGAAACTGCGAACGGCCTTGGAGTTTCACAGCAGGGAAAACACATCTCCTATGCTAGAATGAGCCTCCCTGATACTGATGGCCATCCTACGGGCTCCTGTGACAGCGCCAGTGTCTGCTCTTCAAACCGTGTGCCTGAGGCATTGTGTCTCATTGATCTGCCCATGGGCAACGCTTCAGCCGCACGTTCAGGCAAATCACATGAGCCACGGCATGTGGCCACCACCCGTGGGGTATGATCCTCTCAAAGGTCCAGCCTGCCACGGAGACGCCGCCATCTTCCAATCTGCCAAAGGCACATTCAGCAACCACGCGGCATTGGCTTAGCCTGCTGTAGAACTGCTCCTTACTGCGGTCCATGCACTTTTCCACCCCAGCCCGCATTTATGTCTGCGAAACCCCCATGGCGATCCACACATGCCTGAAGCACCATGGAGAAGTACCCCTTCCGACTGACACCCTGTGTGGAAGGTGGGGTGGTGCTACAACGGGACGGTGTGCGCCAGCACTGGCCCTGCCGCAGTTCGGAAAGCCCATGTCAGCAGAGCCAGCCACTGTCTCATCCACACTTCCCAATCATAGCCCCATGCAGTAAAATGCGACGTGCTGCCATTCATGCTGCCGCCAAGCTGGGCTTCCCCCCTGCAGACGGACCACATCCAAACCTTCATCCTCTGCTGGTAAGTGCACCAATAGCTCTTCTGAAATGTGTCCAGCACGTTGCACACAGCATGGGAGCAAGATCTGGGATCAAGGATTTCTCTCAGCAGATGCTGGAGTTCACAGCAAGGACTGCCACTCAAGAGCCAGGAAAGTTAAGCCGGAAGCCCAGGGAAGGCTGGGAAGCAAAGAAATGGCTGATGGGAGGTTTTCCCCGTTCCCAAAATGCCTAGTACTGTTACATGTTCCCACAGTGCTTAGGACTGTGGGATGCTTGGCTCTCTCTGCCACGGAAGCTAACAATGGGGTCAGGAT